CTTTTTTATAATTATGAATGTCAAATTGACTTGTGTTGCAACAAAATAAAAACAAAAAAGTCACATGACCCAACCCACAACAAACACACAGGACAAACTAGCAATTAAAGATGAACAGTAAGGCATTTACAGGCTTAAAGGCAATGCATTTTAGAAAATAAAAAGGTAAACAAAAGGGTTAAACAAGATATTACCTTTTCTTTAAAACTTGTAATAAGAATTGATCAAAATTATTTTCCTACGTTGTCATAATGTAGTCCCTTTCCATTACCTTATATACATTTATCTTAGAAAAGCTACTATTTAGAAATAAGGAAAACCCATGTTTCAAATATTAGTGGCTAGGATTAGAAGCAAAGCTAGCATTTCTGTTGCTTAGCAACCATATCTTCAAGAAACTTAAGAGTCTTTTCAGCTGTTGCATGCCTGAAGGGTTAAAATAATTAATTTATTGGATTTATTTAAGTAAAGTTACCACCTTAAGCATCATGATGATTTATTTTTTTTGGTTTTTTTTTTCAGTTGCTCAGTTTCTTTCTGTGGCTTCTGTAATAGCTGTAACTTTTAAAAACAAAGGGAGGGCAGAAGTGAGGAGAAGGCAATGGAGAGAGGGAGACAGAAGCCATGAGAGATTAATTAACTTTTTGAGGTCAGTTTAGCAAACTGAAAGAGGACATAATATTTGAGAGATTATATTATTAGCTCCGAGGGAAGTACGTTTCCATGGGTTAGACGGGGGGAGGGTTGGGAACCAGGACCTCTGGTTTTTATCCTGGCTCTGAGAGGAGAGTAGGGGTTGCCACCTGCTCCTGCAAAACATGAACTTGTTCCCCTGGTGTCTGTTGCTTTTGTGTGCGTGCCAAACGGATTGCAGGAATGCCCTTCCCTGCTGCAGTTGACCGTTTCTGGGCAACTCCACACGTTAATGCCTCCGTTCTAGGTGTTAACCAGGTCACTCGCATTTTATTTCTATATTCTCTTTCATCCAACAAGTCGCAGCCTCTGTCTCTCAAGGTGCTTTGTTAACCGGACTGTTTCCTCATCTAGCTTATCTACCAGCCTAGTCAAATCATTTGATTATTCTTTTCCCTCTGCACTTACTTCTCCCTTCATCCAGGAGCCGCTCTGGGTTTTGGCTTTGGTTTTGCTAGAAGCTGGCTCTCCTCATACACTCGTAGTTGCGGTGCAGTGGCCCTTGCCCGTGGACTGCTTGGATGACTGTTGGTCTGGGTCATTCCACGTGTCCCCATTCCAACATCTATTCCAATCATCCCGGGTTCCATCTTTTAATTTTGCTAGAGCCACCTTTTTGCATTTGTCCCATCCTTCAAGCCCTGCCTAAGTATTTGAAGCCTATTGTTGCCCACCAAGCTTTATAATAGGGAACAGCACTTCTCTTTTTTGCAGATTCTCTGCAGCTGATTTCAATTTTCTATTCTGTTCCTCTGCTTACAGGAACATATCATTAGAGCCCTGCAAATCCACAGATATCAGCTTTATATCTGCGGATTTCCACAGACCGTTTTTGCGGATCGGAGGCCGGTACAAATGTTGTGTCCGCGCAGGGCTCTAAATATAGGAGCTCAAAGGCAGGGAAGCAGCTGTTTGCAGCTTATAGCCTATGAGGCTGCTTCCTCGCCTTCATATGGGAGAGGGATCCTAGAGCCATGGGAGCAGATGCCATATTGCACATATTGGCCACAGGACCTATTTTATGCATTTCTGCCCTTTCCAATATTGGGGGACGGTGGTCCAGAAAATAAGATGAGAATTCATTTAACTCATCGTTGGTCAAGGAGACCTTGGATCTCATAGAGCTGAAACTGGAATCCCCACTCCAGCTTCCATGAAGACCCGACGTTGTCTAGCAAGGTCCTCAGAATAACTCATCTGGCGGCAAGCGAGAGCAGAGGAGGCATGGCCAAAGCATGTGGAGCCAAAATGCTGAACTGCTGCCGGGACGCTTCAGAGAGAGGAGAGCATCTAGAATTGTGGGAGACGCTGTTAGCAGAAAGGAAATTATTGGTAAGAAATTTTCGGTTCCCTCGCTGCCCACCCCCATCTTCCAATTGAGGTGTCAATTCAACTCACGATATACAGTGGCTCAGACTGCTTTGTGGGAGTACACTCATACAATCATAACCTTGTAGAAGAACATTCAGATCCTTTTGTCTTGTTGGAAGTAGTTGACAGCTGGGATTGGAAGTGAAAAGAAATGGTACCTCTTTTTTCAGTGCTTGACATGAACATCAGATTCCCCACCTCCCGAATCACTGCAGTTATTGTTTTAGAGTGTGATCAAATCACTTTTGGTCAGTCCAAGAGACATTTAGGAATCGGGGCGGGGGGAGGCATGGAAGGAGGAGAAGACAAACTTTCCAGGTTATGCGGGTGCCAAGAATCAAAATTTGGGAGGTTTCCATAAGGTGGAATGACCAGAGCTCTTCTTGCTCAAACAAGGCCTTGTCTACTTTGGAGCAAACTGGACCTTAATGCTGTAGTAAGACCATTGAGTTCATCAGCATTTTGGTGTAGCAGCCTGGAAATTCTCTGACAGTTTCATTTACATATTTTTTAAATGAGGTATTAGAATGAATAAGGCAATTAGAAAGGTATCCCTGTCATTCATTTTTATATGAAGTTTAATGTTACATTATCCTCATATTTTCAGTTTTTAAGATGCCCAACTGCATTGTAGAAACTGGAGGTTTTGGCACTGAAGGAGTAGCATCCACTTCACTTTAATGAGACATGACTCTTGTGTATAATATTGTTAAGTGTATATTCAGTAAACCCACATTTATTTACAGCTTAGATATTCACATAATACACATTTAGTCATGCAGCTTGATAAATTGCACTCCATGAAACTGAAACACACCATGACTTTGAATTTCCTTTTCCAGTGGTTGAAAAATGCTACTACAGTTATATAAAGATAATTAGTTTTAAAAAAATGAACTAGCAACCTAAAGAAATTAAAAAAGCCACCAACACAGACAATTGCAGATTGTTTAAATTGCAAATGAAAAAGCCTGCTCTAACAAACTTCATGTACAAGTTTCTAGTCAGGCTTCAGTAGTAATTATTAGTGCACTTTAAACTTGTTTTGCAGACAAGTTTTTAAAAAAATAAATAAGGTCAGGTGTTCACACTGAAAGGCTCGGAGGTTTGGGAGGTAATCCATCAGTATTACTAAATGCTAACAAGTTATTTTGAAACTAATTTAGTTTATAACTCAAAGGAACTCGGCATGGTTAGACTCGTCAACAATCTACAATTTTACAATAAATACATACTCAAACATATTGGTACAAAAGTTATAGTGCCCAGAATTCTCAGTCACAAGCATAAGGTAGTGTTCAAAGGCTTTACAATAGAGCTGTATCTACTGTAATAAGTCACCATCTCCACTCACAACATGGCCATTGCCAAAGACCTTCTTTGAAATTCAAAGAAGTATTTTCCTTCTACCTCCTTTACCAAACAATTCCATTGTACAAGTTATAAAAAACAGGCTTAGCTACTTGAAGTTAAGAGCAAAATAAAACAAGGGGAAAAAATCCTCTCTCAAAGAGGAACTTGTTTCTTCACTTGGCTCCCCTTCTCCTACCCTCCCCAACCCATTTGATGGGACCCCTATCTAGGAAAGGCTTACAATAGTTTGTGTACGTTACACAGCTTTAGGCATTCCAGCATGGGCTATTGGTTATATTTCTTTTCAGCCCGCTGACTGGTGATGTACCTTTTCTCTGGCCAAAGTGGTTTTCTTAAAGGTCACATTCAGTAGTTCTCAAAGTGGCTACTAAGGTGATCAAGAAAAGTTATAGCCAAACATGTAGCTGGCATTTTCAGAGACCATGCATCAGCCACTAGGCTAAATGTTTCTATTGATTCTAAGCATGACCCTGGATAGTCATTCCCAAAACGGGGACTTCAATGTAATTGTAAAGAAAACAGGTGCCTGTCACAGGGTCATCTCCTTTAGAACATCGTCCCATCCACATTCAAGTAACTACTGCGTTAGAGGACATGATTACAACTGTGCTTCCCTGACAATCGATATACAGGTCAGTCTCGCGTTGGACTGTTACTGAGTTGTAATCAGATCTGCCAACATACTGGTTACTGGTGTAGAAGAAACACTGATTATAACATTTATCACATTAGCCAGCAGCATTTAATGCAACTGTTCAAGTGAATGTAAACACAAGCAATTACTCTCCAGAAGCTATTTAAGATTTTAATTCCATTCAAAAACAAAGAGTTTCCAACCAGCTTCACATTGAAATCTATATAATAAAATAAAAATCTTTCAATCCCTGCAACAGACCAAAACAACTGTTCAGGAGTTTAAGGTATCTTGTTGGCATTAAGGAATCCAGACACTTTCTGTATTGACATGTAAAATTATTTTAAAAAAAGTTTTTCAAGGCAAAATAAATTTAAAATAAACTGCAATTTTTAAAACCAGGATTCAGACTGGGAGAGACTAATCTAGAGGCAAATACTGAGTCTCCTTTTATTAATCGCTATAGAAAACTTATGGTAACAGACATGTTTAAATAAGACTACAAAGTGCTAAAAGAACACTGATGCATTTGTTCATATTAATCAGAAGGCTATATTTGCTCTTTAGATCTGGATTATTTTTGTGGACAGTTACTTTGGATTATTTATACCAGTCTAATACAGGGCCTATTGCTGGTGTAAACTCCTGCAATGTACATTAAGTGTAATGCTACAGTCTACTGACCACAACTGGTTAATAAACTTAAGCCTACAGTTGCTGGGTAGTCTTTATAATATGTTAAGAGAAAAATTTTCAAAACCACAGGAATCACTTAAGTTCTTGAGAGAAACCTGGAAACTCAATGGCACAAATTAGTGACACTGTCCATTTCAAATGAAGGAATTAATTTTAAAGTTACTGCTGATGATGATACGGAGTGGAGAGAGAGCATCCATTTTGATCTTTCAAAAAGAAAAAACTTTCTGTAAAAAAAAAAAAAACCGTAAGAATCCATAGAATTCAGATTTAAATATAACAGCAATGTCATAGCACGAACACAACAATTAGATAGTAAGTCTAGATGGTACACCACACTGTATGGATTTGAAAAGGTCTAAGACCAGGTCCCAAGAAGCAATTTATCATAGGAGCTTTAGAAGCATGCTGTTTAGGGCAAATTTCTTCAGTATACTCTTTAATGAAGTCTGAAAGTGAAGTCCAAATCAAGGAGAAAGTCATTTGCTGTTCACAAAGAGTACTCATCGCTGCCTTTCATGTTTTACCAGTCAGAAGAAGGAATGTAATTATTCATATCCTATTTTCACATGGTCGAATTACATCACCTCTCTATAGGAAGACCTGCACAGTTGTTCTCTGCTTCACTGCAGAATGTACAGTGGTTGAGGTGAATGAGTCATTTTGAAGACCTAAGCAGTTGTCTCAAAAAAACCTCTGTTGGTATGCCATCCCAGCAAGTAGAAACACAGTCCAGCAGGTGAGAGAGTCGCTGCCTCAGTGCCTGGTTTTGGAAATCAGCATGCAACTAAGGACTAGACATTCATAGTCAGAACTTCTGTTGCAGTAAGAGAATTCTGAAAGATAGTGGGAGACAAGTTTCATCAGACTACAAACATCAAGTCTCTACACTTTTTTTTTTTTTTTTTTAAAAGATATGTAAAATTTTTGGGTATTAACAAAAAGGAGTTAAAAGAAGGGTGTCAGTGATAGCCCATTCTGCCATCCTTTCTCTCACAGGGTAGCACCTTACTCTGTGCATATCCCCACTGAGTTCAGAGTGGCTACCGAAGGAGTAAGATGTTACTCAGCGTGAGTAAAGGTGGCAGAATTTCTCAACGCCAAATTGTTAAATAAAATTCCCGTTTCTTCATATAGAGAAATTTCATGTTGGACAGACAGCTGGGATTTCTTCATGTAGAGAAATTTCACATCAGACAGCAAGGACAGAAAAATGCAATGGAAGTATCTTTTCATCTAAAATTTCAATGGCAATATCTAGCATTAGAGTCTGGGGTGAGCAAGTATTCTAGAAAGAGTTCTAGTATAGACAGTGCAGACAAATGCCCTGTCCATTACCAATCTTATTAACTGAAGTGCAATTATAGATAGATTACAGGTAAGACACTTCAGTCATGTCCCAGAGGACACTAAAATGTTTTCTATTTATAGTTTTCACTGGTTAGCTATATTCTTCTAGAACTTTATTTTAAGTGCCTTTGCCAATTTTGTACTTTCCACATTTGAAAACCACTAAGTCTTCCTCTCCTTTGAATGGAGCTGCATTTAACCTGGCTGTCTTTGCTTACTTGCAACATCTATAGCACTACATCATGTCAGAGCATATCTGTGCCTTGTGTGATCCCTTTGCTTTTACATCTACCTGTGCTGTTACACATTTGCTTTTATTCTTTAGGGGAGAAAGCAGAATGTGTGGATGGTTTGGAGAAAAATAAGGAAGAGGCAATTTAGTGAAAAAAATGTAATGTACAGTAAAAATCTAAGCAAACTGCAGAGTAAACGTGTGTATTATTGCAGAATATTAAATATCAAGACAAAAAAAACAAAATAAATTGAGACATTATGAAACAACTTATCAAAATTATAGCCTGAATTTTCACTAGTAAAAACATGCAGGACTTTTACTATCAAATTGTAAATCAAAGTTTGGATCTAAGTGGTAGTTAGCGTCCCTGTAACTAGGATGTGATGGACTGATCTGAGTCTCCTCTGGCTTATCCTAGTTTAACAACTATGTAACTTCCCTGGCTATAATGGAGTTTGGCCCAATTTATACTACTGTAAGCAGGCAGATAATCTGGACCTAATATATATATTCAGTTGTGGAGTTTGGTCCTAGTGTCAGCTTCCCCTACACCAACATATACAAATGATGTTGAACACCCACCAGCTCTCCAGTTTTGCCTGGAGCATCTTATCTGGCACTTCAGCTGTGTCTAGGAGAATATTCCATATAACTCTTCAAGTGATGTATCTTTCATGGATAAAAAGCGCTACCCCGTGGTTCTGTTCTGGAGCATTAGCACAAATAAGGAAAGAAGGCAAACTGAACCTTGTGACAGAAAGGCTCAAAGCAAGATGATCAAACCCCACACCCACTCTATCTTCATGTCTCCATGCATATAGGACTGCCATACCTTAATTCATAAATGTGTACTGTAGTCAGGACAGGGCTTGCTGTGTCTGTATTGCATGATGTACACTGTAGATTGATGCCACCAATACAACATTACTACTGCAAGGATATGCCATACTTGGTGACTAGAGCCGAGGTAGTTTAATTGTCCTTTTGGAAAAAGCAAAAAGATTGACTCTGTTACAATATTCAACATAACTACTGCAGTAGCAACTCTAGCCTGGAGGTTGAAGTTCTCATGCATTTGAATAATTTCTGATAAACATGCATGCATTGAAGGGAAAGTACTGTATATCTCTGGGCCAGCTTTAAATGGAAAATATATGCAAGTGCATTAAGTGTATGCTCAGATTATGTATTTGCAGGCCCATCTGACCACTTAAGCATACAAGGGCTTGTCTATACTTGTGTTTTTAGGTACTGGTACAAACCCTTAGTGGAGACACAATGCAAGACACAAGTTTACACTAGTACCTAACACTTACACTAGGGGTTTGTATCAGTGCAGCTATATGGGTGGCTATAAACCCCAGTGCCCATAAGCAATTGCCACGTGTACAGATACAGAATGCACATGGGCACACTGGGTATTTAAGCATGCATGATACACCTGTGCAAACAAAGGAGCACATCTAATTGGAAAATCTGGACCCAACTGGTGTTTAATACCCAGACCTACTAAAGTTAGTAAAGTGAGCTAACTGAACCCCAATGACTTAGCCCAAGGACTAGAGAAGAAGCAAAAGAGTGGATGCTCACTAGCTACCAGCTTCCTCCAGAGCCCAATTCAACCCCATGGAAACTAATAAGGTCCTTTCACTAACTTTTAATTAAAAGTTATATTGGATCCTCCTAGTACTCAATACAATACTACACCAGGGAAGCTGTCATTGGTACAATTAAAATGTTTTCCAAAGTTGAATCTCTACATGGGAATTTTATTGCAAGTGGTTAACTTTCAATATATCACAATTTTATTTCTATTACAGTGGTGTTATTCTCTGCAATAAATACCACGTTCCCTTTAATGAAATGATGTGCCATTTGGCCACACCAAGGTCTTTTCTGTGTGAGTGGATCTCTGTAAAAATCCACAACATTATTTTCATTTAAATCTCTCTCCTCCTGTGCTGCCTATAAAACACTCAATCTTGAGTAGACAGCTGATGTGCTGTGACTGCTGCTCAGTATACTAAATCATAATTGTCTTACTGTTATTGTGTGCTCCCGTCATCTGTTTGTCATAGCCACCCATGTCTTGTTGTGCACTTAGAGTATGCTCTTTGGGGTAGGGACCTACTCTCCATTATTTATGTACAGTATCTAACAACTGAACTCCAATCTTGATTGGGAATTGTGATGGAGTATGTGCTGGAGACAGACAGCAATTAGTGCACTTGGTTGCATCTGGAAGATGGGCCAGGCCCAAGTGAAGATGAAGCACAGCTGGGTGGTAAGCATAAAGGGAGGAAGTCAAGATGAAAAGGAGGCTGCAGGGAGAGAAGGGGGAAAAAAACCTCTGCAGCTGTTCTCTGGCTATTAGAGAGTGGAGGAAAGGCCTAGAGGCAGACAGACAGTATGCTGGGGGGCTGTGAGAAAGGACCTGAAGGAAGGCTAAGGTACAAAGTCCAGTGAGGCAGCTAAGGGAGCAGACCGTAGCTGCTTGCCGCAAGATCTCTGGACTGGAACCCAGAGGAGGTGGAGGACCTGGGTTCTCCTACCAGTCCCCCAGGAAAGATGGTATGGAAATACCTCAACACAAAAAGGAGAACTATTATTTGGAGCCAAGCCTCCAGGAAGAAAGTCCTCTGACACGTTGCTCTGCACAAGAGCAGGACAATCTTGCAGAGCCCGGAAGGTGTGAGACTGAAGGTAAGCAGGCCAGGGACCCAAAGGAGACCACCTCAGGGCCAGAGTGGCTATTGATGGGGGACACTAGGCAGGGGAGAGCCTGCTACGCCACGCCCAGCCTCAAGGGAATGCACCAGTGGTGAGGCTACTCTCCAGCTGGGGTTTAGGTAGATAGCAATAGTTTATGGGACATAAATTTACTATATAAAACAATGGTACAAGTAATTTACTTGGAGGTGTAATTTGACATTTTTGCCTTAAAAATCAGAGCAGTCAGTGCACGTTAATCCTCTGATTGTCCTAGTCTAGTACCAACACTCATACTAGCTGGAAAACACCATAACCCAACAGCTTTTTACACTTACAGAGCACTATTTATCAAAGGATCTCAAAGCACTCCACAGACACAGGTAGTTAGTCCCTTTTAGAACTGGGGAAAATGATAGCCAGCAGTCAGTGAGAGCTGAGTGTGATCAGGGGTGGGGGGGAAACAAGCTCTGGAGCTGGGATTTTCCAAGGAGCCTAAGCGAGTTAGCCTCCCAAATCTCATTTCATTTTGTTAGGAGAATAATCATAATAATCATCACCTGCCATAAGTGGATGAACTGTTGACCAAGTGTGTGCAATACTAAGAAATCTTATAGTACAGGTAAGGTTCCAAGATCTTTTGGAGGTTAAATTGAGATTGTTGGCATACTGCCACTTTTTTTTAATGATTTATTTGTATTTTTTCCAATTTTATACAAGTGTTAATGATTTCCCCCCTTAACATGTCTTACCACTAGATTATGATTTAGCTGAATTCCTACAGGCTCAGAGAAGCTACTAGCATGAGTGCAGCAAATGCATACAGAGAGCACAGTATTCAACACAGATATGGCTGCTTAATGTAGGACATGTTCACTTGGTTTTTAATGAAAATTCAAATCTCACACATTATACTTTATTTAGATGCCCTTCCAGAATCACCACTTAAGTACAACGCAAAAGATAATCATACCTGGGAAGTATCTTTCTGGAACTTTGGAAATGTAAAAGAGAAAAGCTATGGCAGCAATCAAGTACATCACAATCACTCGAGGAGCAAACTCCTGCAAAATAAAATGAAGCTTTAATGCTTAGTAGTAGATCATGAATGCCTACCTCATAACATTTGTCTAGCAAGTGCACTGCATACTTTTCAAGGACAAAGCTTTACTCTTATTACTTATTTACATGAATGTTGAACAGACTTCAAATCTGTAAGTAGTATCAAAATCTGAGACAGAAGAGGTTAAACCTTAGCCCCACCTTTGTGCTTGAGAACAACCTCCCCCCATATCTCTCACCCCTCCCCCCTTCTCTGTGAAAGGTGAAATTCCTCTTTTTTTAATACATTCACACTGTGCCTAACAACAGATTTCCTTAGGTTGGTCCCCACAACTCTACACTGAAGAATTTCCATCAGTAAGAATGCATTTTAAATGCATTGATTAATGACTAAAAGTTGGATCAATCAATCAATGCCCCGTAAGTTCCTTTTGGAGGTAGGGACATTACTAAATCAGCTTCGAATCTTTGACCATGTGAAGCATAACTTACCACACATGATCTCATGAGGCTACTAAACACCAGATGGGAAAAAGGGATGAAACTGTTCAGTGGAAAGCAACCTATATATTAGTTCCTTTTCTTTGAAGTCCTTATTACCACAGTATCTTGCTGCCAAAAGCAAAGCTTTCTATTTTTAGATGTACAGGAACAAGATCAGTAACACGGACTTATGCACAGAAATACCTTGAATACCCAGGCAATAATACTTAGACAAAAAAAATTTTTTTTTTTTTTTACTTACTCGCACTAAGTATAGGCCTAGTCTAAAGTCCATTAAAGTGCCAGCATAAGAACCTGCACAGATTAGCATCATGGTAGGTTCTCATCTGCGTCTAGTTCATTATATAACTACTACAACTCCTTTTTTACCATAAGACAGGTATATATTTCCCTCTTTCACCCTGCCATACTCCTTGCTTTTCAGGGTTGGGTAACCTTTACAACAGATTACTTTACTAGCTGGTTTATAACTGCTAACATTAGTAACTTTATTCATATTTTGTGATCTGTGGGTCACTTAACAGGCAAAGTTAAGTGTGTGTGTATTTACGTAGGGCTCATTTCTGGATTTGCCACAAACTCCAAGTAAGGGACTCTGCCCCAGGAGAAGATCAGAGTCAGAATCTGGCCCCTACCTCCCCCACTTTTATTTCAGGGGGGTGAAGGCAATAGAGAATCTGCACCAGTGCTGCCTGACCCAGACTACTACTTTCCATTATGCTGACTTGACTGCACACCACACCCATCTGGAGGCAGGCAGTACACTGACGCCACACAGGTTGTTGTGTTCCAGAGGTGTATATCTAGGGTCACAGTTGTTCCCTATTTTTTTTTTTTCTTCTCACAAGGCAGGTTTAATTAGTATGTTGTAAACCAGTTTTAATTGATGTAGCTTGTTTTTAGTTCACATCCTGAGTTTAATATTTGAAGCTCTACATTAGGTAAATCCAGTTCAAAGGTATTCATTTTTTAACCATGCTTCTATTCCAAAAATGGGGAGACAACTAGAAAAGCAGAGGAATCGTGTCTGCTTCTGAACTTACCTGCACAATAGATGCACCAACTCCTCCATTGAGCCAAACCCAGTGGATAGTAGGAATGACTCCATATCCAGAGACGGAGCAAAAGATGACAGAACGCAGTCTGTGCCACTGCTGAGTGAGGTAGCTGGGATGAATCTGAGCAAAGAATACTGCAAGGATCATAGCAAGCACAGTGATCAAGTATACCTGACGCCAGTACTGCAGAAAAGGAAAAAAGAAATTTTTTTTCTTCTTCTTTGGGTAGGTGTGAAGATAATTAACACCTTTGGCAGAAAATGTATGAAGTTAAATAGAAATCAAATGTAGAGAAGGCTTACCATTGTTTCATCCACACACTTTTCACCATATACAAAATTGCATAAGCTACTGTGTTCCCTAAAATGAGTTTTAAGTTTGCTCCTGCACTAGTTTGACAGGTTGGAATTGGTTCTACTGCTGGATTCAGATACTTTACAAGTATTCTTTATTACCAATGGATAAGACAAGGTAAGGTTTTGGTGGGGAAACTACCTTCCCCTTCCCTATACACATACAGACGGATGGTGAAGAGAAGGCAGGTTGTTGCGGACCATCCTAATCACTATTTCTGAAAGGTCACTTGGGATGCAGTAATTTTCCCTATACTCTCGCCTGTGTAAAATTTATACCTATTTATATAAACTAGAAAGCCCAGCAACCACTCTTCTCCTAACTTCAACTATTCCCCTTTCTTTTCTCTTGTCTAATACCATCTCCTGTTCTCTCCAGCCTTCTAGATCCTGGCCTGTTCCAAACCACTGGGTCTTTTCAACAAAGTGATTTTTGGCATAACCTGATGAGATGCAAAAAACCAGTGCCTTCCGGGGGCAGCTGCACTCCAGGATGCCTTCCAAAAACCCAAATTTATTTCCAGTAAGCAGCAGCAATTTGTGGCAGGTAGGAAACCAACCTTGTTTTTGTCAAATGTAAGCCAGTCAACAAGTTCAAATAACATGGATCAGCTAGCAGGCCAGTAATGCGGAATTATTTTTGATCGTGTGCTTGTGTCTGAGCCAACTTGCTGTGTTCAACAATTCTGGAAGCAATAAAATCCAGGTTTTAAGGATCTTCTATAACAGACCAGTGATCAAAATCCAAATAATCATTTTTCATGGGAAAGGTACACTAATATTTGAAAGGACTCCAGTTCCCCTCACTACTCAGTTAATTCTGCACTCCTTGCATATTGTGCAACTACATGCTTGGGGTGTGAAAAACCAGCTAGGTAAGGCCATACAGGTCAGCTATGAAGTGTTTACTTTATTGCATAAAAAGCACATTAAAACTTACATTATTACAGTAAAATGCATAAAACACTCCTGATACGTAGCAGCCCAGGATCCCAATGGAAATTCCTGCATAATCTAATGCCATCCATCGACGGCTAGTCTTCTCTGAGCGATGGCAGCAGAAAAGATGATATCCTACCGAGCAAAGCATACAGACCTGCACAAATGTTCAAACAAATCCATGTTAATTTCTTCAAAGCCTAGTTTATGGCTACATGAAATCAAAGCAAAAAAAGCATCCGGCTCCATCTATGAAGCTGTCAAGCATAGAATTAACCACCTGATGCTGTTATATATTTCACACTGCTACCGGGTGTCATGAAATCATGCTTTCTACCAATGATGAAATAGCTGACCAAACCAAGCTACTCAGAGAAGGGTCAACAGAAGTTAAGGGAAAAATCCTGCCCAGCCTTGGTGGGCACAAAAGGCCTGATTGGCAGTGCAACAAATGATATTTTGCTGAAGAGGGGGAACAGGGACATATGGAAGTCAATAGGGTGAGTCTGCAAAGGGGAGTGCATGGCTCTTCAGGAGCTCCTTGTGCTTCAGTGCAGAGAGAGGTGGTTTGGGTGTGCACCTAGTGGTTCCACTGGCCAAACCACCACATGTAGGGATGAGAAGGGAAAGAAATGGGAAGTATCTGGAGTATGCAGCTCTAATGGCACAAAGAGAGAGGATTCTATCACCCCAGAGTTATTCAGTGTGCAGTCCACTTGTGCTGGGACCAGTATTTGTCCCTTCCTTATTTATTCTTTTTAAAAGAATTTTTCTGAGAAAGAGAGAGAGTGACAGTACTTTCTAAGTGGTCTTCAACAACCATGGTTTGAAAAATTTACCAGTCACCTACTACACAGCGAGGGAGTCACTAACTGGGTAAATGGACAGAACCCTTCCTAATCACCCGGTTCAAACCACAGGTGATGGGAAGAGCAAGAAAGTGCTGGTCTTTCTCCCCACTCCTTGCCCATTGGGGAGCCCATATTTCGTAAGAACTTTGGCAAGTAGGTGACTCATACATTTGAAGCTGCTGGGAAGGAAAGGGTGGGAGTGTCTCTCTCTGAGACACCTCAGTCCACACACCTTTCCTTTGGGCTGTTGAGGAAAAATATTTCTTCCATCCCTAGGAGGATGGAGTCTGTGCCTTTGCCCATCTGATAGAGCAGCGTGAAATTAACTAGAATCTGACAGGTTTCACTGCTGCTGATCTCACTACTAGGACGGTATTTGCCAAACTAGATCTGCATGTATCATCAATAGTCTGTGTGGCCCTTATGTGTAACCTGCAGCATGAAACATTGAGAACTAAGCAGTTAAGGATCAGGGATCCATGAAAAGATCTCTCAGTGCAATAATTGTCCAAAATTTTCATTTGCCAAAACACTTTGTAATGGAAACAGTAAAACGGACAAAATTCCTGTATACTTCACTGTTACTACAGCAACTTGACAGGTGCTTCCTCTTCCCCACATATTATTAGCTACCCACCAGTGCAAAGAGTTCATATTAAATTCTTCAAACTGGAACACCCTGTCAAGAGGCCAGAGGCTCAAACAGATTCCAAATTATGTCTTCTGGTCATAGCACTGTGCCCAAGCATTGTAGGGGTTCCAAGAGCATGTAATGTTTCATATTACACATGCTTCAAAGCAGGATGTATACATTTAAGGTCGGTATGACAGCCCTGCGTTTCAACCTTGAGTTACCAGCACACACGCAAAAATTATTCAAAATCTATACATTTTTTCACTCTAACGTAACTTTTAATAAAAATATCATTAAAAGTTGATATTGATAGGCTCATCTTCCTTCAATAAGGAAGGCACATTATTGTCTGGCATAATAGGCCATTATTATGCCTATTATGCCAGACAATAATGGCATAGGCACATTGAATTCAGACATTCAGTTTATACACACCAGCCTCCAAGTACATGTTTGACTCAATTCAGCAAATAACACTCTTCCAATTTTTTTTTTAATTACCAAAGTCCTCACATTTTAATCCTAATTAGACCTCCACACAAAAGAATAATGGATAGGTGGTATTTGAATTTTAACCAACAAGAGGTTCTTTATGAACCAAAATGTACACGTTACAATTACAGTATTTTTGTCAGCATATGCTGTATGCAGGTGATGGTGCAATTTGATGTATCTGCTTTGAATCAGTTTTCTGCACTATGGATAATTATTTCTTAGTTAAAAATCAAAAACAGGTTAAAGTCTGAAAGCTGTTATCTCCTTGAAGAGTGCAGATTGTTGTGTTGACAAATTCTTCCCTCCCTCAAGGAATCTTCTATATTCCTTATGCTCCTCTTTTTTAAAAGCTATCAAAGGACCAAACAATGGGATCCAAGCAAGGCCCATCAACACAGCTTATATATAATGAGGAGGGGCAACTATTGAGAAACATCGAGTATAACGCACTGGAATACCATATTAACAGTTCCCTCTGGACTGGGAAGTAATGAACTAGGAAACATTCTATTGGCCATTAGCCAATGACAGTCACAAAAGAATCCAAACAAGTGAAATGTAATTACTTAGGAGCCTGAATCCAACAGGAATTAAGGACACTCAACACTTGTCAGGAGATGTTCATTGAAAGGGTGCCCCCCACCCCTTATTACTGTTTTAATCTGCCAGTGTGTTAGCTGCCCTGCATGTTAGGCCAAGGCTGAAAGATCTTCCAGTATGCTTGTAAGTGCCACTGAGAGATCTTCTAGTGTATTTGTAAATGCCACTGAACTATAGATGTAGCAAAGTACTTGCCTTACCAACTACTGTGCTAAATTTTCCCTCTAGCTATGTTCAACCATCTATGCTTCATACTACATCTGGCTATTTAGGTGAAAAATAATTGGACAACTCTACTTCTTAGTCAAACAACCACATTTTAAATCCAGACTTTTCCCTAGCCTGGTTGAAATCAAGTTCTGGTCTGCCACACTGTATAGCCAAGTACTACCACTAAAACTCTGCATGGATATATTTTGAAGTATAGGTGATAAAACTGCTAAAGGTTTAAGACAGGCTTTTTAGAGACTAATTTTCTACTCCAAATCCAGATGTACTGACAGTTCAGCTGTTCTTCCAAAACCATAACTACATATTTTAAATTTCCCGTTCTGTTGACAGAGATTTCTTTGCTACTTCGGTCAAGTCTATCAAGGTTGAACTAAACAATTATGATCCTGAAAATGATGAAAAATGACAGTGACAAATATTTTAAAAAACTCCAGTATGTGTTTCAAAACTAGTTCATGAAAGGACTTACTTGAAAGCAGAAGAGGCAAATAGAACAGATAACAAAGTCTTCTCTAGAGGCACTCGCTGAAGGTAATACAGAAGTCATGTCATATATGCCCAGAGTGAAGAAAAGGAAAAAGCCCAGTAAGTGACTCCAGATGTTTACTGTCTCATTGGATAAAATGAACAGACTAAAAGAAAAAAATACAATAGCAGATATTCAGAAAGTGGTGTGTGGAACTGAAAATCATCGTTTTAGCAAACGTTCAAAGGTTTAGCAAAAGCACAAATCTTGCTTTTAACATCCCAATCAACGTATGTTACCTTTTTAAACACAGCCTAGAAGGAAGATAAGCTCTGTAGCCATCTGTAATATATGGATTGTCTTTAAGGAACACAGGAATCTGCTCATAGGTATACAAGCGGATTCCCCGAGGTACCAGAACAGGCCAGTACTGGTAGCTTCCTAGCTCGATGTAATGGGCACTCTTCAAAAGCTTCTGATGCATGGTGGTAGTGTCACAGTCAACAGCTAAGGCAAGACTGAACAGAATATCTAATTATGCTCCAGGTATCTGATCTCTGCTACAATGTGCCTGAAAAACACAACAAAATTTCCTGGATCACTTATTACAGCTTATGTCACAGGTAGAGACAAGTTCAGTCACCACAAAATTTGGCAGCTACAGTGATGCCTCTCTGTAGTGAGGAATTGCCCCTTTTCCGAACAATTCCCCTCCCTGTATTATTGTGTGTTAAGTGCCAGGCACAATTTTCTCACCAACTGCATTTACAAAAGGAGTGGGAAGAGGGCACAGACTCACACCTCCAACTACGCTGTCTGCTCAGCGCTCTGTAGCTGGCAAGTGTCGGTCTGTCCGCAGGGGAAGCACAAGGCACAGGGGAGCAAGAACCCTCCAGCTGAAAAGGAACCACATCCCAGCCGAGCCCTGGCCCCGACTCAGCCCTAGGCTACTCCCTCTGCCGTGGACGCAGAGCGGGCTCCCTGGGCCGGCCCCGGCCCCGGTGTAAGTGCGGGGGTGACATTAGCGCAGCGCCCCTGGCAGGGCAAACAGGAGGCACGATCCCCCTTCGCGCCTGCCCTCGCCCAGCCGGTGCCGCGGCGCTGTTCCCCCCCAGCCAGGCCCCACCCCGGAAACGGCTGCACGGCCGGTGGGGCGCCCCCGAGCGGGGGGGGGCGGCCAGACGAATGTGTCCCCCCCTCCTTTCACTTTATTTACACAGACGCTAGAGGTTTGGGTCCCGCTGAGCTCGGGGCCCTGGGACAGCCGGGCCCCCCCTCCTCAGCCCTGCGCGCGGGGAGCGGGGAGGCTGCAGGGTCCCCGCTCCAGCCCAGCGGAGCCCGATGGGCAGGGAGAACCGCCGCCGCTCACCGGCCGGGGCGGGGCCGGGCCCCCCCGCACATCCCGGAGAAGCAGGAGGAGGAGGGCGACGGCTCCTCCCCCCCGCGCGGGTCCCTCGCTGACAGGGCGGAACCAGCCGCTTCCTCGCCGGCCGGCTCCGGCCCCGCTGCCCGTCGCGCCACCAGCCCCGCGCGCCGATGTCGCACTCACTGCGCGCCGCGCCGCCCCTGTCACCGCGGCGGGTGCCCCACCTCCGCTACAGAGGGGTGGGTCGCAAGCTTGTGACGTCTCCAGCCCAACCGACGCATGTGCGCGCGGGCGCAGCCCGGGGGTTGAAGGCGGCGGTTCGGGCTGCGCGCGGGGGGGGGGGGACGCTGCAGCCGCCGCCCCTCCCCCCACCTGCTCCAGCAGGGGGCGCTGTGTGGGCCGGGGAGAGGCCAGAAGCACCCCGCTGCCCCCGGCCTCCCTCTCAGCCGCCCGCCTAGTCCTACCTGTCCCCCGGCTGCCCCGCGCGGGAGCCTGGCGCCAGGGCACACCGGTAAAGAAGCGCCCGCCGGGAGATCAAGCGAATCCCATTTCAAACGGAGCCGGTCCCTGAGAACCCCAACCCCCGACGTGGCTGGGTCCCCCCGGCCGCAGGCTGGGACTGGGGTGGGCCCGCGGTGCACCCCGAGTCCCCCCCTTGCCCCTGCTTGCCGGCAGCCCAGCAAAAGAGAAGCAGCAACAAGCTACAACAAGCGCCAAGGGGAAGCAGAGTCTGCCTGCTCTGGGGGGGGGGGTTGGGGGGGGGGGAAGAGCACCTATAGGCAACCCCCGCAGTTATGCTAGGTGGGTGAAAAATCCAGCCAGGATGCAGGGAGGTAATTGTGAGTTGACCTATTTAGTACTGTCCACAACTGTAGCTGTCTTCAAAACGTGCTGCTGACCTTGGAAGGTTTTCATTTGGGTAAGAAGTTCCGCTCCTGTCAGCAGCACCACTGTGGGCTTCAAACCTGCCAACATGAAGGTTTTTTCTGGATCAGGCGCTATATTTAAGATTTGGTACTTAATTCCTTAGGACAATATTGAATCCTCTGCTTCAGTTAATACTTGTGTAAGATAAAGGAACTCACAGGATCTTTGCCTAGGAAGCAAGTCTCCTCCCCTTCCCCAAATTCTGTAAGGGGCACGGGCAGTAGGTTTTTGGGTTGCGCTCTCTGGCATGATAGCCTTCATAATGTCATGTTTCTTTTAGGAAGCTTACTATTATCTGGTGGTTTGGCAGCCTTGTTCTGTCTAGTGTTGACAGTCATCTTTTGTGGTGTATGAGAGTGGTTAATTTTAGTTTCTTGGGTTTACAAACTCCCTGTGTAAAGTTCAAACAGTGTTATACGTTTGATTCTCTAGCATCACTTGTTATGACTTAGTCAATAGCCTGCCAAAGAATGTATTCTGTATTCATTTGGTAAAATATCACTAGCCGCACATAATTCAATACTGATTTCTCTTGCATGATTAGTGTGTATAGATTCTTAGGCATTTAGGACCCTTTCCTACTCCCATTGTTATGAATGGGAGTTTTGCCATTGATTTCATTTGACTAGGATCGGGCTCTAATAGGGGATAGTGTTCCAGCCCTCACAGTGACTTGTCACCTTTTCCTTTGCCTCCTTTCCCAGCACCATTCCCAGTGCAGTTGCATTCAGCTCTCCTTGCACATTTCAGTTGACTACCGTAGTTCACTGGGAAGAAGCTCCAGACAAATGTCTATTCCTGCTCCTATAGGGAAACTTAGCAGGTTTGGCAGCCACAAAATGTGCATCAGTTGGGGAATTACAGTCAAAGCTCTTCTGTCCAGTCCACTTCTTCAGTAAGTTTCCCCCTTTTCATTCCTCCAGTAGGAATCGGTGTCATGGGGTGGCCATGGAAAGGTGGTGGAGTGATGGTTGTGATACAAGGGAAAAGGCGACAGTGAGCAAAGAATGTATGTCATGCATGTAGTGGAGGAGGAAGAAGCCAGTGAAGGCAGAGGTTTGCAGGCAGAAGGAAAGGAGTGTGCATCTAGAGGGAGAGACCTATTGGTAACACTGTGGAGAGATTATAATGCCAATATTCAGATGTAGGCCTCAGTCCTTCAAACATGGGTAACTTCATTTACATCAGTAGTTCTCTGAAGTCAATGGGACTACTCACGTAAGTAAAGTTACATGTGTCTACTTCAGGGGTCGGCAATGTTTGGCACGCGGCTCACCAGGGTAAGCACCCTAGCGGGCCGGGCCAGTTTATTTACCTGCTGACGCGGCAGGTTCGGCCGATCGCGGCCCCCACTGGCCGCGGTTCGCCGTCCCGGGTCAATGGGGGCGGCGGGAAGCCACGGCCAGCACATCCCTCACCCGCGCCGCTTCCCGCCGCCCCCATTGGCCCGGGACGGCGAGTGGGGACCACGATCGGCCGAACCTGCCGTGTCAGCAGGTAAATAAACTGGCCCGGCCCGCCAGGGTGCTTACCCTGGCGAGCCGCGTGCCGAAATTTGCCGACCACTGGTCTACTTATTTGAGGGATCAGCCTCTTTCTGTTCACCCCATCTCAATTTTTATTAGTAACAATATACTCTATTGATCAGTAATACATGCTTTATACACTTTATGCAATAATAACTGGCATATAGTGAATTTTTATGATGAATAAGGTAAATTAATTAAAATTGTCACAATGTTTCAAAAAGAGATTTGCTAGACCAGAGCCATTCTTGGTGAGTGAAATTCACCTCTGTGCAAGGGACCAGTACAAGGCCAATGCACTACTGAAGTCCTCAAGATTGGATTTATGTAGTGCATAGTCCTCATGTGAATCCTCGGCACAGGGGTGACTCTTTCAATACATAAAAGTAAGCATATTTTCACTTTTCAGATACATGAAATTAGAAGTAGTTGCATTTTTTTTGTCAAAATGGGGTAAGTTTCTTTAAGTAGCCATAGAAAAAATGCTTATTTTAAAAATTACAATAGTTATTTCCTTCAGTCTACATAGAACATTTACCGTAGACATTAGCCTGTGGTGTTATTTAGTTGAGAAAATATTTTATTTAACAGAGAAAAAGGTTTATCCATGCTCTTGCAGACACTCAACACGTAAGTGCTGTAGCAGTTTTACAAACATGAATAGTGAGACTTCAATACAGACCAAGTTACAGTGGACACCAAACTGCCAGTCTTTCCAAACTATGGGCCTGGTGCAACGAGGAGTTGAGTGCCTTCAGCTCCCACTGAAGTCAATGAGAGTTGATGATGTAAAGTACTTAATAGGAGGTGTCACTCAGCACGTTGCAGAACGAAGCCCTTCATACTTGCGCTGCCTGTATTGGTTAATTAAAGTGAATATTGAAAATGTTTTGTAGTGTTAGTATTTCCTTTGCTCCAGTGTACACTGTATTAAATGAACATTGACCAAGGCAAAAATCTTGCAATAACTAGAAATCTTCTAAAGGATCACTTTGCCTCATTTTTCAAAAGGATCATGGGTCAGATTATGAGTTGCTGTAAATCAGAGTAGCTCCACCAATTTCAAGACCTATACAGACTTAACCCTTCTGAGGATCTGGTCCCATAAACATAACTTTAAAATTAACATAATGGACAATAATTCTTCCCCATAACATGCGTTGCTGTTTTCTTACAGTTTCCTTGTCCCCTTTTGATCTTTCTGAGCAAATATGTGAAAAATACTTCACCAAAATGTCTTTGCAAGTTTTAAAGATTTTCCCATGGCAGAGAAATTTGTGCTGTGAAATAAAAGACTCAGAATTCTGGCTACTTGAAATCTAATGACAGCAAGGAGCCAGATGCTGTAGCCTTATAAATTACAAAGGTATTATATAGCCAGCTGCACTCTATAACCCCCAAATTTTATACTCTTCCATGTTATATCATTTGGTTCCACTAGTTAATCAGCTCCAGCCACACAACAACTCTCGTATGTTCCCAGTAATCAATCATGCACTAAATGTTTTATGTGAATGTTCTGAAACTGCCTCATGTTCCTCCTGCTTCTAGTTCTTCATGTCACCAGTTCTTCATGTCACCATAAACAGCAGTTGTTTCACCAGGTTGTGATTCTTTAGCTACCAACTGTTCTGGATCCATATTTTCTTTAGTGTGTCTTAGGACCCTAATAAGCAATACACCCATAAGACTTGGTCATAGGGGCCCCAATTCAACAAAAACCTTAAGCATATGTTTAACTTTAAGCACCTGAGTAATCCTATCTTTATAAGCAAGGCACTTAAGCATTAATTTAAGTTCCAATAAAGTCAATTAGCTATATTGCGTCTTAGTGGCACTTAAAGTTAAGCATGTGCTTAAGTGTTTGCGGCTCCTCTTCTCTGCTTCTTTCCCC